CCTTTGACTTGTTCGTCCTCGCCCAATTGCATGGTGTGAAATACGATCCACCTGAAACACATTTTGAAAAGATGTCTGATGTTTTATTTTGTGTCTGTGCCCGACTTCCTTTCTACCACAGGCTTATCTGTGCTGGATTTATGCAGCATGCTGCGGCGTCCAGAAAAAATAGAACTCTTGCGATCAGCTGAGGAGTCCACTCAACCGCAGCAGAACAGAAAGATGCCGGTGGAAATTGACACAATAACTTGAATGAAAACGATGAACTGCAATCGGCGAATACAGCCTTTTTCGCAGCTGTTCCAGATGCGATGGACATTGGGGGTTTGAGGACAGTAGGAGTTAAATGTGCCTGGTGTATTAGAGTAGAAAGACTGAAATCTTCTGTGTAAATAGTAACACCCCTGCTCACAGGTGCACCTATCTCTCAAAGGGATTTAGAGCAGATGCACTGATTGGTTTCATTCATGTTCCCCTAAAACATAGCCATGAATAATCAAAGAACTTAAGTCAGCCTTTCTGCGCCCTGTGCTTTACGTTGTGCCAGCTTAATGACCAAAAACTGATCAGACACGCCCTAAATCACTTTGCTATGCATTTTGGACCATTTTAATAGGACCGAGTCCTGATTATGCAAAAATTGATCAGGGTAGTGGATGTATAGAATAATAAACCATAGTTTAAAAGCAGCACCTGCCAAACACCAAATGCAGGTAGACTTTCAGTGCGGCAGGTAAATGTTTGAACCACATTAGCGTTGTGATAAAAAGATACAACCATGCTGAGCTTTTACCTTTGTGTTGCTAACAGTGTCCGTCTGAAACCTGCCCTGCTGTCTGATCAACCACACAGTTAGGTACACACATAATGTAGGATGAAATCAATTTGTATCTGTTAGTGATTGATACAAAATCTTTTCGTATTATGAGAAATTCAAGTCATCACCCCTAATAATTGTCTGCACACTACCTAGATGCTTCACAAGCGTACTGGTTGAAACATGCGACAAATTCTGAAGGATACAAGGCTCATTATTTTCTGTGACTGTGCACATAAAAAAAACAAAAAAAACACAGGGGCTAAAAAAATGAAGCAGCTGATCTTTCACTGAATCAAAGCGACAAAAATCACCGAGAGAAACGGGACTTTTCTGTAATTACACAGCTCGATATCCTCCTGCAGATAAAAACAGCTCCTGCCTCGGCTTTGAAATGATACATCCAAAGGACACGGCCACTTTTTGTGTCACCCCCTTCTCATTGCTCATGTAGATTCTGCTAATGCTTACTTGAGGAGTAAAAATGTTATTCTAATGATGGTCGAGGGAGCAGGCTTTTTGCAGGTAGTTGTTATGGAAACTGCAGCTGCAGCTTAACTGTACGATAAGCCTCCTCTCTTTCCACCCCCCTGCCGTCTCTTCCTTTTCGATCTAGTGAACACAGCAGGTTGGAGTCATTACCAGAGTACAAATGGTTAAGGACAGAGCCGAGACATGGGGGACAACATTCAGTCAGACGCTCGGAGGATGTGTGCAAACTGTTCGCTGTTGTTATCTGCGAGCCACAATCTGGCCCTCACAGAGGAGGAATGTGATTCAGCTCAGTTAATTCATTCCTTCACATGACTCTCATTTAGCCCTAAATAATAAAGTACTGCATAATGTTTATTTATTAATTCTCAATCACAGTTTTATTCCAGCTATAAGGAGCACTGTGGTAAAACCCCAACAGTGACTCATTCTCTGTTTTCAGATGACCGTCATTTTCTGCTGCTGATCAGCTGTTGTGCTGCACCTGTCTGACAGCAAGACAGTCACAACGGAAGTTTTAATTCACTACTTAATGGCTTGAAAAGCTCATTAGCATCTGCTATCTGTTTCATGTCTGAATTACAAAATCTGGATCAGATTGGTTTGAGGATTTTTTAATATTTATTTATTTATCCGATTTTAGTTTATATAGTCAGTGATTTTGGCACCAAGTCTTTTGGACAGTAGTGACCTACTGCGCTAAATTGGATTCAACATTGTAGAGAGGTTATCGGCTGGTTTTAGACCAAACTCTAAAGTGCTGTAACTTTGCAAGACCCTTCTATTAAAGTTAACCTGTATTAAACTTTGAATTACACTCATATAAAAGGAACTGGGGTAACACTTTACAATAACCATAATTTATAAATGGTAAATAGATAGTTTTTTAATGTTTAATCATCATTTAGAAACAGCATAAAGACCAATTATAAATGGCAAATAGATACTTTACTAATGTAAGTTAACACTTACTTTACCATTAACAAGCAGTGAAATTATGATTAATAATTTTCATTTAATATAAATGGACTATTTATTAAAGGTTTATATAGGGTTTAAATATTGGTTGTAAAACATCTAGATTAAAATGTGTGTCAGTAGCAAAATGGTTAATATTTGTTTTTAAACCATCTATAAACATTACTTTGATGGTTATTGTAAAGTTGCAACTGATGTTTGTTATACTTTGTTAATGATTAACAAGTGGTTTATTAACCACCTATAAACATTACTTAGATGGTTATTGTAAAGTTAGGGTTAGTGTCAGGTTTTTAAAATTGTAAAATGTGCAATTTATCAATGGTCTATATGCTATTTATAAAAGATGATTAAACATTAATAAACTATCTGCTTACCATTTATAAATGGTCTATTTACCATTTATAAGTGGTGTTTATTGTAAAGTGTTACCAGAATTAGCTTTCCGACCTCCACTGTGCTCATATTAACACTAATCCACTTTCTGCTTTCAGTGACTGGGTTGAAGTCTAAATTGAGGCTATAAATTAGATATGGACGAGTGTTTTCTGGGGTGTAATTTAGAGCATAATACTGGGTTTTCTTGTCTTGGCTTCTGATTATTTTCTTTTTGGAATTGGCATGTTTTAATTGATTGAGGCTTTTTCTCTGAGTGCTCAAATGATGCTGGACCACCCGCTATGAGTGCAAGAAGCTGCAGCTGGAATTTACCCCAATTAAAGCTTGTTAGTACCAACACAAGCAGCTCAATTAGTTGTTTTATTATGTTTTCAATGAAGCAACAAACCACACAGAGCTGTTTATTAATGTACCAAGGTAGAAGTAAACCAAATACATCAGTTTATTATTGGTTAATTATGGCTCCAATTGAGAGAGACGTCATTTTTCATTTTGTGAAGTACCTTTGTGCAGTCTTATTTCCGAAAAGGTTTGGATGCTGTGTAAAATGTTGATAATAACATAATGTAATGAATATTTTAGAGAGGCTGAGTCTCTGAGAGGGAAAGATGGTAAGAGGTTCATCACTGTGAAAGACTGGGTGAGCTAATAGTTCAACGATTTCAAAATAATGTTTCTGAAATTGCAAAGAATTTGTAAATTTCATCATCTATAGTACATAATATCATTAAAATAGACTTGTTATACTCACCTGTCCTTATGTAGGTCTGAGACACCTACAGAATTGTTTAGCAACTTAAAAAAACCTCATTATCTTATACTGGCACTTCATTTTTGGCTTCTTTTCCACTGATAGAAAGCTGGGGTGTTACTTTTTACACAGCTTAGTAGTCATGCAATGACCTCAAATTGACTTTTCTCCCTGAGATGTTTCCATGTGTCTGCTCTTTCACTGATTTAGTTTGACACAGCTTGAGGTTGTTACTTTTAACACAGCTTTGAGTTCCTGACACAACTTAAGAGTTATCCCTTCCTGCCTTAAATACTGTATTTGGGCTGCTTTTACATAATAGAAAGTTAGATACAGCTGGCAGGGGTTACCTGAAGATTGATGTTGGTGCCCACGTTTGCTATCTTGTGTTGTTATTACAGTTGTGTAACACTGCCGAGAGGGCTTATCCTTTAATTTGTCCTAGTAAATGAACACTACCTTACGTCAGGCTGTGGCCAAGTTTTATAACAAGCTGTTCAACAAAAACAAAATACATCCAGAGATTATATCATCACATATGTATATCATATTAACTCTGCCGTTGTTGGATATAGACCTCAAAAACTGTAACATTATACATGTGTATTAAGATATGAATCAATATATTTAGTCTTCCTTGAAAGATTTGAAGAACCAAGAGAAATCTCTACAAAATGACCAAAACCAATACTGGATGGTTTGAACACAGTTTGTGCAGGTTAAAACCGAACCATGCAAAGTGAAAACCAGATATAAACGTGATGCAGATCCTTAATGTGGTGCAGGGGATAAACCAAAGTATATACATCAGTTAATTTAGGCACCTGTTTAGACTTGCTCTTACTGTCTCCACTCACCAAGCGTGAGTAAAATAATTTGCGCGAATGAATTACATACCATGCAAAGACGCGATAAGATGCTCCTACTACTCTGGCGCGAATGACGCAAATTGGATGGTAGCTGAAAATGTCTCAACTTAAGCGTATATTCGCATCACGATAACTAATCAGCACAAAGGTTGATGGGTGACATATGAAAACGGATGGTTGTTCACTGGTATCTAAAATGTAGGACAAATTTATCGTGTCGGTGTGTGTGTGCCCCGAATCATAAAATACCTTTATTTTCAATTCTGGAAACTAGAATAAGAAGGAGCTCATCAGGAGGCAAGTGAGTGAGGAGGTCAGATTACCTGGTAAAACATAAAAAACCTTTTGTCTATCACTTGATGCCGCCAATTGAATTGGCGGGGATTACCGTTGAAAATACCGTTGACGCGCAAATGAAGCGAGTCAACACTATTCATTTGGGTGAAGTAAGCGAGTAGATTTTACTCGCGCTTGGTGTGAGCGCCCCATTATTTATATATTGTACCTGGAAAAGACGTAGCTGCATAGACTACACTGATGTAGTACCATAGAGTGCATCACATACATTGTTTTATAGTCGCCCCAAGGTAGAACCAAACCACACAGGCTGGTTCATTTTACATAGAATTGAAACCCGTAGATCAACCAATCATACGAGCCCTGTCGCGCCTCTGCGCAAATGCAGAGTTAGTATTTCAGATGAAGAGTGTTCTCAGGAGATCGAAGGCCAAACAACATGTAATGACTGTGAATGAAAGAGTAGATACTTTGACATTATTATTATTTTCTGATTTTGACATGGCTGGTATTGGGATTGAACTGTGTGCAATGACTAATGAGCTCCATGTGAGATCACTCAAGGTTATAGCCGGCAGCATCACATCTTAATTCGACTCTTTGTGCGTGTGTAGATATGTGTGTGTGACGGGTTCAGTTTCCGTGGAGGCTCTGTCTTTACTGAACTTCCACAAACTTGTGCTGAAACTGTGGTGTGCTGTCTGTAATGATCTCAGAGTAAACCCTGCTAAAATAGCACAGTGACCTCATTATTGTTTCCATAGTTACAGAATGGCAGGGTTACAGCTCCTATCTATAGCTGTGTTCACTTCACACAAAATACTGCTTTTTCACAGATGATAGTGGTTAACAGCTACATTGCAAAAAAGCAGCTCATGATAATCTGATTTCTAAAGACGCTGTGGTGTTAATGCTGCTTGTTTTGCAGTCTGAGACTCAGGCACTCAGCAGTTTGAAGCTCAGATTTCCTAAATTAAGATCAAATTCTCTCAGATGAATTCAATATTTGTGATAAATGAGGACGCATTGCTGTTGATAAAGGTTTGCGTCAGTGTTCTGGGATCATGTTTATCGAATATTATCTTCATTTAAATTGCACAAACAATGAGATCAGTTCCAAACCCTGAAATTGCCTCTCTGCTGCACACCCACCTATTTCACTTTCTGTGCCAGAGAGAGCATCACACACTTAATTGAACCAGCTGGCTTTGTCAGGCTGAGATCCAAAACATGGATCTATACTTACTAGGTAATATCACAGTACACGAGTCCAGTAAAATAAAATTAAACTCATGTAATGATGAAAGACTGCAGTGTCTCTCAGGCTGGTGACATGCAGAAACAAACTCTGAACCAGAGGGAAAACCAGAGTTGTTATTTAGGCTCGGCTTTCGCTGGTGAGGTGGCATCTTTTGTTGTTTTTGTTTCGCAGGCACAGTCATGCTTGTGCTGTTTGATATTTTGGTGACTCATCGTAATTTCGCCTGCGCCAAAGGTGAGGGGGAGGCGCAGCGGGGGGCGAGTCAGCAAAACTGGGACAGATTGGTGTCAAGAATAACAACACTTTTGGTTTCTTTGTCTGCTTGGTGCGGGTCAGATTTTACTGTGAGTTACTGTGATCTCCAGCAAACATGTTGTACTTAAATAATAAATGTAAGTATGTGGTCACTAAAGCTAGCATATTTTAGTTGTATAGATGTGATGGCAGAAATTTATTTCCACCTCACACATGAAAACACAGAAATATGTGAAATAACCTTGGCTTTCTAACTCTAGTTTTTCTCTGTTCATACCTTAGAGAGAAACTCCAATAGCTCCTTCTTTGTGATGATAACATGAAATGTGGAGAGTCTGATCACAGAGTATAAGGTAAGAGAAAGGTCTAATTTGATGGTTTTGGATGTGCCATGCACAGCAGAACTTTCACAGAGGCCAGAGTTGAACATGACCACTCTTGTTGATATTTGTAGTTGTCTCCTGATGAAAAAACATCTACATAGTGATAGCCTCCATTTGGGTGCATTGCTTTAGCGTCTTCGGTCGCGTTCAGGCCAGCCCTGTTTAGTCCAGTTGAACTGAACCCTGGAGCGTTTACCTCCTTGGTGAGGTTCGTTTTGGTTGGTGTGAGCGCTGGCCTCGAACTCTCGGGTCTGCCTGGTAGGGGTGGTTTCAAACCACTATTAAGTGAACTCTGGTCCCCATCCACAGCTATCACAGGAAGCGCACCGTTTTACATGTCATATCCTGTTATGGTGGTGTCTGGTAGGGGACAAACGTGCAGTTACGAATTACTGCCTGTCGCCTTCCGTCCAATTGGAGAGCGTCTCTTGTGACGTGCGTGTATTAATACATTATTCATTTGCTGCAGTCTTCCCAGTCGTTCTTTTATGTGGTCCATTCGAGTCTGCTGATATGCAGTCCAGATCAGCACCAACACAAAAATGAGCAAACAATTATCCGTGATGTGCAGTTAAAATTGCAAGGGATTTGTCGTCTACCCGCCTAAACTGTACAAGCAATTAACGAATGGCTTTTGCTGCCATGTGACAATTTTTGGACCGTTTGAGTTTGGCCTTTGTGAACGTGAACTGGACCAGATGAGACATGGCAACAATGTATCATCAATGTATCATTCTCCCCTTGGTTCATATCAGAAAACAGTCTGTACGTCTGCATACCTGGAAGCTGCAGATTTAGGACCTCTGGAACAGCATTTCTAAGATCTTTGTTGATTCTGACAGGCATTGCTTCTTGCACTGTATCACCAAGACTACATTTTTGTGTCTTAACCTCCCTTAACTTTTACAACAACAAATGGGTCATAGAAATGTGGTCCTGAAACTGCAGCCTTTGGCTCTGCAGACAGTATTGCATGGTGTAGAAATCGAGAAAACACTCTGGTATGTAAAAAACAAACAAATTAAAACAAAAAAAAAAAACATTTATTTATCAGTTTACTACAAAAGGAGACCAAACAGACAAATTCAAAATGAGAGGCTCTGAATGAGCTCAGACGTTTTCTTTAAATAAAACATTAAACGTGTTGCTCTACAGGTGAGCTCAACAAGATTGTTTTTTCTGTCTTGAATTTATTAGTTAAGTGTTGACAGGAATGCGAAATGAATATCAAAATACACACACACACACACACACACACACACACACACACACACACACACACACACACACACACACACACACACACACTTCTGTACGGACCAGTAAATCCACTGTATTTAAGAGTGTGTTTTCTGCACAGTGCACACCGGTGTGTAAGCCAACACACGCTTGTGATTTCTCATTTTGCAGAGTAGCGCGACTCCATCTTAGAGACTGCAATTGAACGCCCCGACCACGCATTGTTGAACTGCGGGTTCAGCTGCAGACAGGTGCTCCTGAATATTCATTGGCAGTAAGCCCTCACAGATTCTAATCACTGTCAATATGTGTGCACTTTGCAACTGTCAACTATTCAGAAAACAAAATATGCCCCCCGCTTAGCCTGCTTATGAAAATTTATGATGCAGGTAGAAAAATAGAGAGTTCACAGTGTATTTACCTGAGCTTTATTATCAGCTTGAGTAATGGGATTGTTTTTGAATTATGGGAAGATTGAAGGTTTAGCTTTACATCACAGGAAATCTCACCCAAGTATCAGTGAAATATTCTTCCTTTCTTCTCAATCAGAGCGACGAGAGATGGAGACAAGACGACTTCTCCTTTGATGTAAAAAAGTCTCGTCTCTTGCCTCGGGTCAGCTTAATTCCCTTCAATCCTGTCTCTCCTGTCTGTCTGCGAAAAGTTTTGGCACCTTCAGTTCAGATTTTTCACCACGATCCATCTAAAGGGCTTCAACGTGTCACCTCCAAAGAAAGCAGCTCCTCAAACTCTTGCCAGCTCCTCGTTACAGTGACACCCATACATCCCGTCCTGTTTGTTTCACTCTCTGTTTATCCGAAAAGGTTAGTGTCCAGAAACTCTTCACCGTGATGGGCAAACATTTGTTTCCAGCAACTTTCTGACAACTTTCCGAGCCTTTCAGTGGGATATATGACAGGGTCCTGCAGGACTCTCAATCTGGATGATGCTGCTGAGGATCTGATTTATTCTACAGTTGCACTGATGGATGTATCTAAACTTTCAGCAAAGCCTATCTAATAAGAAAGGAGCCTCTACTGAATCAATCAGTGAACATATCCAGGGGCCGCTCCATTATGGCAAAATCAGGATTATTATTTTTTTGATTGGATTTGATGTTATGAATTTGGTGAAAAGACATTTGTACTAGTACTGTAGAAACAATGCATCAATGCTTTACATCACTGAAAGATCTTTGGAGTACTTTTGTTGAAATTCATCAATTAAATCACAGATTTCACTCGTGTAGGGGTGTCCCAATTTGATATTGATATCGGATATTGGTCTGATATCACCAAAACATTGAATATCGGGTTATATCGGCCTGCATCTAAAATGTCAGATTTTAGCATGTCAATACAAGCAGTCCATTCCAGACTCCGCTAGTAGCAAGGAGCGGGAGTGATGTCGGCTGTGTGGCAGTATTTTTCATTAAAGTCCAAGAAAGACGTTGCAAATGACTGCAAAACTTGTCATGCACAAATTTGTGCTAATATCGGATCAATATTACTATCAGCCAATATTGATCTGAAGGCTACAATACTGGTATCGTATCGGAGGTAAAAAAGTTGCATCGGGACATCTCTACACTCGTGGTAAAGTAATTTTACACAGCTATGAAAACATTGAAGGATTTGAGCTGCACAGGCTGCAGATCTAACAGATTATTCAGTCTTCTCAAGCTTTAAAGGTGGGATAGGCGGGAATCTGTTAAAGAAGCATCTTTTTTATAGTGTATATACAAAAAAGCTTTTAATATCAGTCAATAGCTATTAGTCATTGACGACATTTGGTAATATTGCGGTTTCACTGTGTTTTATTATGTCTTTGTCGTCAACATTTTATATTTTTTTAGCGCCGCTAAACTGTTTACCTCGGGTCCTGGACTATGTCACTTTATCCTAGTTGTAGAAGTCCTGCAAACATTGTGTTTGCTGGTAGTCTGTTGGCGTCTACAGTAGCACCAATGCTTTTTACTTTCACGTTGACTGGGCCCCATTTGTAATTATCTGAAGTATTTATCTTCATTATATCTGAATTAAATTGGAACGATACGAGCGAAGACAAGCGTCTGTTTGTGGGCGGGGCTTGCTGGAGCAGAGAGGGAGGGGAGAGGAGGAGCTGAGGGGAAAACTGGTTGGGAGGGGTCGTGTTTACATTCAAGATTTCTCCCCAAAACTGGCACTTCCTCAGATCCTGCCTACCCCACCTTTAATGTAACATCATTGTATTTGGATTCAGAACAATTGCAGCAATCTCTCCCTTTCCTCATGCTCATTCTGTCCCTTGGCTTTTCAGACACAGTGTTTACTACTGTTGCACAATGGGTTGAAGATACACAAGTCCAACATTTATCCCAGGGGAGCTTAGGGTGTAACCAAAGCAGTGGACTTTTGCGATGGCATGTTATCGCACATGTTGTACTGTCAGCAAATGCAGGATTAGACTCTCCTTCAGACAAAAATGGACGATTTTGTTGGATGAGTCAGAAAAAAAAGTTCTTGACTTCTTGCATTTGAATTTAAAACACTCTGAGAGTCCTCAGAGGCGTTTTTGTTGGAGGGTTTAGTTTTTTGACCTTTCTTAAAAATCTGAAAGCCAGCATGGAAAAAGAGACTCTTTTAGAGAGGTAAGAAGCGTATGGATGCTTGCATCGATAAAAGGAGTTACCTTGACATGGCAGACTTCATCCCATCTCTAATGTGAGTCAGTCTTAGTTTCCTTGAACTCAACCTTGCAGCACATTTCTTTTCAAACCGACGAGGGAGGTTCTTTAAAGCATGAGCCTCTTCAGTTAGCAGCTCTATTTGTTTGAAAAGTACTGCCTAAAAGTTATTTCTACTAAAAGCTTACTAAATAACCAAACACTCTGAAAGCGAGAGAAAAATCTGAAGCTGACTCTACATTCCTACAAACAGGTTTCTTTTGCCGGAATTTGGCCTAAAGATTTTTTTAGATTAATTGTTTTTGTAAGAAGTCTGAATACGAGACAACCCCAAATTTTAAGGGAAAGAGTTTTTAAGGGCTTCTTTCAGATTTCAGTGAGTAGAGTGAAAATCTAGGGAAAACTGTGGTCTTGGAAACTCTGAATTTTATGGTTTGGTTTTCAGCTTTTTTGAAGATACAACCCCAAGAAAAAATCACCAAACTCCTCAGAGAGTTGGCTGCATGGGTAAAGTTAACCCTGGCTCAGCGGTATCCCATCACCAATTCAAGTACATTTGGGTTTCCTTGAACCTGATTCACGATGCACATCCTTTTTGCAATTCAGAAGAACATGAGAACATCTTCAACACTCACGTCAACCCATGCGTGCATGTGTCTGAACAAAACTGCGTGTTGGAGGTTTTGCTTTTTTAAAAAATATCCAAATCAGCCTCGTCCTACAACCTGCCGGCACAGTCTCAACCTAAGGACTGGACTGAACCGGGACGAGGACTGTGAGATTGGAGCCGAAGCCAGGCCTGACTGAGTCATTTTACACTCTGTCATCACTCTTATCACAATTTTCACCCCTCTTTCACTCTATCTTGATTGGTCACTCCTCTCTGGAACACGTCTGCACCCTGGAGGCTTTATCTGTGATCCCTTATCATCCTAACCCTGCCTATCTCTCTCAGCTCCCCTCCTCTCCTCTGCCTTCTCTCTTTCTCTTTCGCTCCCATTTGTCTGTTGCTGTGTCATATTTGTCCTTCTCTATCTCCTGTAATAGAGCTGGAATTATATTTTGAAAGTAAATACCACGGGGGTTGAATAGATGTGGGTTTCAGTCTGGCTCCTCTGGAGAAAACATCTATACATCCTGACTTCATTATTTTATTCCTTTTTGGTTTTATTTCTCAGTTTTAATCACAGAGACGAACTTATCTCTGCAGTGCATCAGTAATGATGGCTGGACTTTACGCTTTGCACAATGTCAGCCAGGCTTGACACTAATTATGATATTTTCAAAGCCAGTCAGATTCACAGCAGTAGCACATTTATGCAGGATCCATTTAAATTCTTAATTGTGCCTTACTGTTAAAAGTAGAGAGTCTGGGTATTTGGTGTATAGCCGTAGGAGCTGTTTGCCCTTGGCCATTCTTTCATCTTCAGATTTAATAGCATGAGTCAAACAGTGTTTGGTAAATTTGACTGGGGTACATCAAGTAGCTGGAGTTCCTTGTGCTAATATTGACCTGAAGGAGCGGGTGAAAAAAGGAACGTGTGGGACATGAAGATCCTCTGAGATAGAGCAGGGACCGAATGCAGCGAACATTGTTAGAGGACGGCTGTGTTTGATATGTGTCCTTTGTCTTTCTTGCCTTGAAAGTCACTCATATCCGAGACTTTTGTTTAGCATCTGATTTTCATAATGAAGGTGACGACGCTCCTTTAAGGCCTTTCAACGCTGCTTTGAGGTTTCTGAGTGAGCCTCGACAGAGTTCAGCGAGCAATGTACCTCTAAGGTGCTTTTAAAGAGGTGCAGGTGAGGACTTCAAGGCATTTATTGTATCTAATAGTTGGGGCTAAAGAAGTAACCAAAGAGAAGTCATCTTAAATCCATGAGTCCATGCAGAGAGTCATGCCTGTTCTTAATACAGCTCCATCCAGTGTTGGTTTGGGTCCTTGCCCTCTTTGTGCAGATTTCTCCAGTTTTTCTGAGGAACATTTTTCTGAAATTGTTGATCTATTAGCTCACACAGTCTCTCACAGAGTGGTGAACCTCCTCCCATCCTTACTTCTGAGAGAGTCAGCCTCTCTGAATGTCCTTTTATACCCAGACATGTTACTAACCTGTTGCAATTTAACCTCATTAGTTAGATCTACCTCTATTACACAGTCTACTTCATTGCCAGTTAACAGGCTCCAGCTATTCCAACTTTTTGGTATCAAAGTTGTAAAAGGCCCTTTTAATTTATGCAGCTTTGAGCGGGGCTGATGCATGCATTTACCTGGGTGCACATCCCTGTGCCTGTTCTACCCCGGCTACAAATGTCCTTGAAATGGAAACAAGATCGGTTCCCATACTAACCCCCAATTTCCACTGCATCCAACATGGCTGTGGAAAGGCTGTATGTGCCGATCTCAGCTGATTGTTTTCATTTTTTGTTGATTGTTTTTTTTCCGGATGCCGCAGCATTCCACATAAATTCAGCACAGATTAATCCGTGCTGGACAGGAAGTCGGGCACAGACACAAAATAAAACATCTGGCTTTTTTAAAAATAAAACACTATGTATTTCAGGCGGATCATATAGGCAGCATTCCAGTCTGTTGACACCATGGATGAGGAGATGCTGATTCTAGAAGTGTAGAAGTAGACTTCCTCCTTTGGAAGTACACAATCTACTGCTTATATGGTTATGTGGCTGTCTTTATAGAGACTACTCATTTTCATGCGATTACATGTGAATCCTTGTGAGTTCTCACAATTTCCTCTTGCTTTCAAAACATATCCAGTAGGAACTGCCGGATGGCAAAAAATCTCTGCCGTTCCGTAGCGGAGCATTTCCGGATATGGTGGAAACTGGGGGTAACACTTAATCCCCATGTAAAGACACGATTAGTTTGGTAATTGATGTCATTTGCTAATATGCTCTGTTGCTCCAATATCAATGCCTTTCCACTTATGATGCATCAGAGGAGGAGTTAGTGCTAACAAAGGAGTAGAAGATGCTATCATGGTGATAAACTGTGTTTTTGTAACAGGGTAATCAGTGATGATTTATGCATAAATTTTAGTTAATCAGTCGTTAGCTGGCTATGTTGAATAGAGGCTGCCATCTTTGGTATGGTGACCAATCATAAGTTGTATTTGTGATCAGCTGACCTATAAAGGACCAATCAGAAGCCAGGCTTCAGTCTCATCAGAGGAATAAGGTTATGAATATCTAAAACCTGCATTCACAGACTTTTTTCCCACGTAGAGAAGCCATGGGAATTGTAAAAGATTTATATCCATTAGCAGAATCAATGATAGCGTCGGTATGAATAAACTGTTATCATGTCCCATCCCTGATTATCACCATCTTTTCTGCTCGAATGCAACCTTTAGTCTGTAGAGGCGCCAATCAGTTTGTAATAACCTTAATATAATAAATACATATTTGCAATCAACGCCTCTTAATTAATGGCACTTTGTGTTCGATTCAAGCCCTCATCTCTGAACATGTGCACTTGACTTTTAATGACACATTAGTATGTGTATGAGACTCCCCCCTGACACCTGCCTTTCCCATTTCCCGCACTCCACTTCATTCAGCGACACATTATGCTGGCACTGAACTAACTTTTGATGAGTATTTTGGCAGCAGAAACATTTTCATACTCTTTGAAGTGAATATATTTTAGGAGCAGCTTGAAGTCCTCGCTTTCTATGTTTCCTGAAAGCTGCGGTTATCGCGGGTTACAGATCTGGAGGCTTCCATCATTCTCCTGTTTATCAGTTAATTCTGGCCAAAATGACTTATTGCTATTTCTGCTATTTGTCTAATGGAAGAGCATTATCGAGTCTCTGTTTTTATGAGATAATGCCCGGGAAGACACTGTTCAAGGTCTGCCGTGGTCTACCAGATGTCAGATTAGCAGAAGAAAAGGCGCAGTAAATAAAAGCACAGGCAGTCTTGCTGTTGAAAACCACTTTATACAACATTGTGAGATATCAAAACGATCTGCCTATTACAGCCCTGACTGTGTTAAAACCCAATACACGGCCTTCTTGTGTGCACCTCACCCATAAATAAACCAAGCGAGGGCATTGTGCAAAAAAAAAAAAAAAAAAAAAAGGCTTGTCCGGTCTCCGAGGAGCACCGTTACATATTTTTCCTTGCTGCGAGTCATGCCTTACATTGTCTTATGTTTGCTCTATGTTGTCATTCTCAGCACATTTCATAATGGATGAACATATTTCCTTCGTATACAGGAAAGCGCTGATAATGAGAGTTCTCGTTCTTTAGAATTTGCACCACTGATGATAATGGACTTCATTATGTCCCTCTCCCAGTAAGCTGTCACCCTGAACAAATTTAAATTAGCCAGCCCCAGAACAGATCTTACACCGAGATTATTCCCATTCAAGGCACCATTTGGAGCTGTTTTGATTCCCTTTAATGCAGGACTTTTTCACTCCAGCAAGCAGCAGCAGCGGCAGCCCTGTTTATTTGACTGTCACAACATTATAAATTACTGGCAGCTTTCTAAGCAATGACACAAGGGGGGAAAGTCACCTCGAACCAGCCAGGGCGGGTGTGAAGGATGCTGGCTCGCTGGCTCCAAACAGGGCAAGGTGGGGTCTTGGGCGAGGGACCCTGAGGGAGCCGAGCGGTGGAAACCGTACTGTGACTCATTCAATAAAGTTAATTAATGATATTTTATACATAATGAGGGTCGCTGTCCCATGTGGTCCCCCCCTCAGGTTGGGATCATGAAGGGACGGCAGTTTTGCTGCGGCTGCAGGGGATGTTCAGGAAACAAAACAGGGGTTGTGTCAGGTTGTGTTAAGGTCATTTTGTTATGACTTTGTCTGTTTGAAACACACATTTTTCCTTACATATGCTCAAATTAAGCCGCGGTTTGTGGTTGTACTTGATATATAAGGGCCATTTTCCTTTGTACTAATTGCATCAACACTTGTTTGCTTTGTTTGTGTCAGTATTTAACACTGAAATTTTTAGAGGCTTTTTAAAGGTATTCAAAGAAAGACGAGATCAACTGGCAATGGGCAGAAAAACATCTTATATTATATGACTTAGCTCCCAGCTGGTAGTGGCCAGTATCATGAGCCAGTTTTGATATCCAGTTATTACCAGTTAAACCATCATGAAACTTTGCATTTATAGTTATAAGAGCAGCTGTGCACTAAAAAAAGGATAACCTTGCTCAAACTAAAAAAAGATGTCCAGATATCACATCTAAAATATTTGACTTGTTAGAATCTAAATTGAGTAACTTCCTCTGACCTGATTATTTTATGTTGAAGTAAACAATAATACTGCACTTGACTCAACCTTAATTCTTTACCTTGATCCAAATTAGTTTCTTAACATTTTAGTTATCGAAACAAACTTATAAACATGACCATAATGTCACCAGTAAATGCTAGCTAGCTAGCCTGCTACTGCCAACTAGCTAGCCAGCTACTGCCAGATAAAATCATTCCAGCTATCGCCCCATCTAAGCTAGCTTCAATTGGGCTATTCTGTGCTATTTTGACAACACAAAACACTCAACCTTTAATTATCGGCAACTGCTTTGCTACTGATGTTTATATTCGGACGAAATCCACCCAGGACACAAGTGGCGTCCACGACGTCAAATGGTGAGTTTGGACAGCATGCAGGGAGAGAGAGAGCTATGGGACTTAACATGTGCTCTGACTGTGCAGTGTGCAGTGCGTATGCGTAACATTTAACTCAAACCAAAAATATTACCTGCAGGTCATGAAGAAAAAAAAAACCTGAGAGAAATCAAAAACTTTGTTTTGAGTGCTTTGGACGTATATTTAGTTCAGTATAAATTAATCTTTATGTCTCTAAATGCAAAAAGAATGAGTTTTACAATCAAATCAATAATTTTATCCTGTCTTAAATAACAGTTATTAGTTTGAATGAACAACTGCGTGTTACACTTTTTTCAGTGTGTGATTAAATTGACTAATCGAACCTTGTTACACCTGCTAGTCAGCGCGAAAGTCGCCAGTTGGTCAAACAGATTATTCTTTGTTTTATTACTGTACGTGAGAAATTCCAGATTTGTGTCATTTCTGTGATGGCTCTGGTTGATGGCTTATATCATATTACTATGACAACTGATGATATTGCGTGTGGTTTGTCAGTGTTTTGATCTCGAAAAGAAGTTGTTTGAAGGCTGTGTCTATCAAAACCGGCATGTCACAGCCATGTGGACACTGACATGCAGAGAGGCTGGTGGTGTTAGCTTTGCAAGTCTTAGCCACACCGTTCAAACCAAATTGACACTAATTATTTGCAGACTCTACGCTCAGCTAGACTCCCACTACAGAGTCTTGTCTGTTTTTAATGCAGCGCTGCCTGAGGGCCTGTATTTTGTTTTGTACGGAGATTTCTCCAGATTTTCAGAATCTTTTTATAAAATTAAGCACTGTAGATGTCGAAATACACAAACTCTTAAAAAATTTACACTCAGGAACATTATTGTGGAAACCCTGGACTCTTTTCCCATGTAGTCTCTCACAGAATAGTGAACCTCTTTCCATCTTAACTTGGAAAAGACTCATCGTTCCAACTCTGATGAAGTTAAGGTTGTAAGATGATCCATTTCGTCAGATGTATTAACAGGGATGAAAATCTATTAAAAATAAAATAAATAAATAAACCTCTGACAGACATTTGGGTCATTACAGTAATGGCTTGTTTACCCTCTACAGTACTTAAAAACATCTGGACAACAAAAGGAAACGCTCAGAGCACCGCAAGCTAAAAAAACATGTATGACATGAAGAAATATTGAAGTGCAGCGTGTGAAAACATGAGCAATAACGGAACTGGTGGCGAGAGATAAAAGCAAATTGACTGATAATGAATATAAATATACCAACGTGTCACATTTGATTTCACAATCATAATGCAGTCACTTCAAAATAAAAGCGTGTGTCAAAGAGAATGACTCGAGCTGTCATTAACAGATCATTTAAAGAGGCTGAAGGTTGGACAGGCTCTTCTAGGACTGGATTAGTGTGATAGCAGGAAGAACAACAACCACACATCAGGATTGCATCATTTTCAGCAGAGCAGCACCTTCTCTCTGAGTAAAGTATGTTACTCACAGTATAAAGTGTACACTCCAAAATTAAAAAACACACAGCCAAGCTTTCCCACATTTGGTGTTTATCCGTCTGTGGACCGATGAGTCAGACTTGCTGCCAGTTTGTACTCCTGATTAGCATGTTTTTAGCCGTATTGACTGATGGTGAGACTCCAGGCTGGCTTTCCTCAAAGAGGTGTAATAAACAGAACCTGGGGAGGCTGCAGCATCTGCATTAACACCTTGCCAGGGATGTCTCCTAGGGCCCAGGAGCCGAGGACAGTGCCTTCCCTTCACACCTCGTTACTCCTGTTCCCTCCCATGACCTTTCCCTGCAGGCAAACACGCACCCCAGGAGACGGCAAGCCAATCAGTACCCCTCTCCCATCCAGCCCCACCCTCCACAACCCTTCCTCTTCTTCCTCGGCCCACATCCACCACGGCTGTGACTGTCATGGACTCGCTCCCTGAGTGGTATCGTTGTCAGTGGCCCCATCATTGTCCTCCACTCTATCAGGCAGCGCTGTTTACGTTCAGGTGATTTTTACTTTGAATCACTCCAGTGGAAACGGATGTGACCTTGAAGGGAGTGTCTTTTAAACCTGAAGAGAAAGCAGAACAGGCTTTGAAAGTCTTGTCTTTCATGTCACTAATAGACAGGAGGCTGTCTGAATTACTTTCTTTTCCCTTTTTTGACCAGTCATTACAAAGATCAGGACAGGCATGAATGCATCGAGCCTTGGAGAGTGAAAATGGAGTCCTCCAGGTGAAAGGAAAACAGGCCCTCTGGCAAGGTTGCGTGGTTTGTCTTTGATGCTCCTGGTTTGACACGGGGAACTCACCTTGACTGGGTCATTTATTCAGATACACACTAAGTCACCTGACACTGGGAGGCTGAGCGACGATTTCTTTTGGCCTTCATGGAGCAGTGGTGCCAGGTCACCAGAAAACATCTATATTTTAAACCTTTAATAGCCTGTTGCAGCTTGAGTGGTTATCCGAAACTCATAATAACACCTTTTTTTGCACCCTGAATAGAATATTAACATGCCTCAACTTCAATTATTGTTTAATCCTCGCCCAAAAAAGCTTTTAAAAGTCCTCGAGAAAGTAAGAAAAAGTGAGAGGCAGCATGAGAAACATGTTAATGGAGGCAAGATGGCGCTGCCCTTATCCTTTATCCCTTTCTACCCTCTGAACAAACCATCCCAACCTGACCCAGGACGGCTGCAAGTCTCACACCGTAGATGAGTTGCAAACTGCAGTGTGGCAAGTCAGAGCACAGAAAAACCCTGTTAATTGGTCCAGTCTGGCTGGCCCCTGTCAGACGAGGCCTTTCATGGCCTTTTCATGGGTTCCTCCTGGGAGAACTGAGGAGGCTGCCTGTAATGAGGCACCGTACCTGGTTGCAGAGGGGGGAATCAGGAGGGTCACTCGTGGGCAATTAGGGAGAAATAATGAGAGCTTTCTCTTTTGCTCTGTCTCTGTTTTTACCTACCCCTCTCCCCCCCCCTCATCCTTAGATTCTCTGTGAGGACCAAGGCTCATCAGGTAACTTTTTAGTAGGGGGATCCCGTGAGAGGTAGCTCAGAGCCAAAAGTAGCAGTGCCAGAAGAGAGCCAGAGCTCTGCAGATCTTCCACAAATATGCACAGCATTCTCCACATATGCTGCAGAGCTGTCAGCTGCAGAACTCATTAGCTGTCGTGTGATGAAGATTTAGCCTCACAGGGCTGATGGCTTTTATTTGGGGATTTCAGAGTTGCCAGATATCTGGATTTTGGTTCCACGAGCCAAGACTTCTTCAAATGTAAATCTGTAGTGAGTGTTAGAGGAAGTCGTACAGAGGTAAAAGAGAGAAACTGGTCAGAAACTGCAGTGTTGATCAATGATGGGTGGTGGATTCTGGGATTGCAACTACATTATTGCACCGAATCAAAGCCTGTTCAGTTGTTTTTGCAAGCATGAGAGATATTTACAACCCATAATCCAAAATAATTCAGCATCGTTGACAGAAATGGATTAAATTCTATTTATATTGGAGCAAAGATGGATTTCTTTTAGGAGTATCTAGCTGTCTTCTCGCATGAGAAACTTCCACTTAGTTCAGTAAAGTCAGCAATGTTCAATTTCTGTGCAACCATGTAGCTAATTATGTTACCATCTGATTTCGCCATCAAGTGAGCTACCTGCACGAAAAGTGAGGTACAGATGGACAGACTGCCTCTGACCAGCTTTTATTAGTTATTTAATAGATTTTTTGTTTTTTTTTAACACATACATACAGTGACATCCTGAAACACCCAAAAGTGTCAGTGTTTTTAACAAAATGCTGAATCGTTGAAGTGTCTGTCCACAGCAGGATTTTATAAACTTTGCAAGGTTCAGTCACTAAAATGCATGACACTGCTTTTTTTGATGCATAATAATTACTTACTGTAAAATCTGGCATTTTAGACGTATTTTAAACTCTTTTTATCATCAAAAAAGTGATATGTGACTTTTACACTTGTGTGACCATTATGCCAGTTTCAACTGCAGGGAGAACTATTTTATCATGTTACAGTTACAGAAGACGCAAGCAACAGCTTTGGTGCACAAAGCATGCTGGTTGTACAGCAAGGCAAACCAGTTTAGCAGCATCACTTATGAACATTCATCTGGTCATTTAAAGAGACCTGTGGTGGTATAGTATGAAGGGAGCAAACCTTGTGGAGAGCTGGTTCAATTGAAGATTCCTCCATTAAAGTCAATAAGTGACCAGCAGAGGGGGGTGGTGCAAGTCTTTGTGAAACGGTTACATGCAGCAGGTCTGTCAGTACCTCACCCATCAGTGCTACCATAAGCTGAAGCTGAAGCTGTCAGTCCTGCAGAACAGATGTGTTAAAGCACAGTGCATGGTGTACTAGTGTTTTTTTCACATGTTCTGGATTCAACAAATCTGATGTGTATGTTGTTTGAATATACCAATGGTGTTGAATAAGTCAGCACAAAGATGTGTCTGCCTGTGGCTCAGGGGTAACGTTGGTTGTCTCCTCAGCAGAAGGTCCAGGGTTTAATCTCAGGTCCTGCTTTCCACATGCTGTAATGTCCTTGAGTAAGACACTTGATCCCAACCTGCCCTCGCTGGCTATTCTCAGTGGTATGTCAATGAAATTTGTTATATATGGTGGTTCTCTACACGGCAGCTTCTGCCATGAGTGTGCTATATCATACAGTCCATATAAAGTCCATTAATTTTGACAAGATGCATCAAAATGACACAAATATTTAAAACACAACATGCTTTACAACTTTAAGATTTAAAATGGTGTGTAAAGTTTCTATTAATACAGAAGAGATTGCAACATGTACATCTGTTGGTGTAAATGTACTTACAATAGTTAACCTTTCTTTCAATTTGACTCAATTCATGTCAAGACAGTTGATTTCCTCAGTTATCCATATACCATCTAATTCTGTGAAAACTCAAATCGTTGTAAATGTAGTTTGGGAAAGAATAATAATATCATAGGGGTGGTGATAGCAGAAAGAGCTACACTGCTGCATAAAAACCACACATTGCTGAATGCAATTGAGTATTTACGCATGAGTTCGGTCTGAACCTTTTCCCTCTTACAGGTAAAAAGTGATGCTTTGTATCAGTTGTGTTTTGTGCAACAATAGAAAACAGCTCAAATGTGTTACTTTGGAGTGCTGTTGGTCTAGGAGTTTGATTATGCACCCCGTATTCACAGTGCAGCTGTTGCTTATTCAAATCCAAACCACGCACGACCATTTACCGTATGTCTTCCTTTATTCTCTTTAGTCCCTGCGTTTCTCGTCTCTCCTCAGCTGTCCCGAGGTAAAAATGCCAGAAAAAAACTGTGATTTTATGATAATTCCTGCAATATGTAAAACAGCGATAATAATTTGTATTATGTCACCCCACTGAAGTGAACTGGTAACACTTTATAACAACAATCATTAGTATGCCATTTATAAGCATTAGATAAACATTTACTAATGATAAGTTAATCAATATTTCACAATAAATTAATCATTTGTATTAATATTCATTAATACTGATACCTTGTTTTCACTTTGTATGGCTCACACGTCATTCATAATAGATCAACAAATCATTAAGTAATCATTTACTAATGATTTGTTCTGAAATATTTCATAGTTTACAAATCATTTACAATATATTTGTGATTCTAAACATCTTATCAACAAACATATATTATTACATTATTAACTAACATATTTTTAACAACATATTATCATTGACACATGTTTTTTGATGTTTTTGCTCATCATTAGGTAGTGACTTATGGATGTATGACGGTGTATTAGGACCACATTAAAAAAAAAAAGACTTCAAGATTAAAATCGTCAACTTACGAGAATAAAGTCATTACTTAGGAGAATAACGTCGTAATAAAGTAGTTACTTATGAGAATTGAGTCATAATAAAATTATAGAACAGGCTTCTTATGATAATGTGGTGCTGATGTGCCAAAAGATAAAGTATCTCCTTGTTTGAGAAACGTATATTGAAGTCCATTTTTACGAAATGCTCCATGACTTTCATTTTAACAACTGGCATCTTAAAGAACAGGTTAGAAAATACAGACTTTCAGAAGTAATGATTTTATTATGACTTTATTCTCGTAAATAATTGCTTTACTAGGATTTAGTTCTTGTAAATAATTACTTTATTACGACTTTATTCTCTTAAGTAATGATTTTATTACAACTTTATTCTCGAAAGTAACTCCTTTATTATGACTTTATTCTTGTTAGTGATTACCTTATTCTCGTAAATTAACAACTTTAATCTCAAAGTCTTAATTTTTCTTCTTAATGTGGCTCTAATACTCCATATGAACCGTATGAATGACATTCTACTGATTGCTATCATAGAGTGTTACCAGTGAATTTGGTGGAAGAAAAAAAAAAAAAAGCTTGATTTTAAAGTCAGAGGATTCCTCTGAAAAACACTGTGGAATATGTCTCACACCTATTGATGTGTATCTTAAAATGACAGCTGATGTATCACTAAATGGGTTAGTTTTGTATGCATCAGGCATGATGTTGGAGTCCAAGGACTAACAGAAGATACGCTATACCTTAGCGTGTATATAGTGCATAATACATGTCCGAGATGTGATGCTCAAAGCTCATACACGGTTCATTATACAGAACTAGTTTCCCATCACTCCTGGGATTCCACTATTTTATGCAGCTGGCGTTAGCTTCTGTAGCTCCTTCTTGGCTGCTGTCTGTCTGGAGACACATTTCCACTTCTTTGACAGAGATTGATGTGCTGCCTGTCCCTGGCTGTAATAGCACTCAATATCCACTGCACTTAATATCCAAATGGCACCAAATCAAAATCACTGCCAGTCTTGACACCAGGGTGAAACACCTCAGCTAAGTGCGGCACCTTATTTACATGCACGGAGCTGATTCGTTTTTTTAAGCAGTTGAAAGGTGATCAATAATTTACATGCAGGTAAGTGCCTGAGATGTGTGAAATTTTCTGCCGGCTCGAAGAATAATAGAGTATTTGAATTGCGATGCGATTGTTTGAGATGTTTATTTGCAGAAAAGATCCATAGCAAATATATTGTAATAGAATATTTAGTTTAGCCTGTTTAGAGAGTGTGAAGAAAAAAAACAGATGCTATGAGACCAACATTTCTTCTTTTGTGCAGCCTTAAGGTTCTGCATTAAATCAGACTGTGAGACCAACAGAGTAAAATCACTGTGAAGCTGGTCCTCCCACTTCCTTCTACTTCAATGATAATCACAGATCCCCTCTCTGCAGGCTGCTCCACTCTCGCTTTTTTATTCTTGTTTAGCCTTCAATTTTGCTTTTGCTGCTTTCAAAACCTTTTGAATACATTTTCCGTTGAAGGAAACTAATCCACGGTGAGTTGAAACCTACCTGCTGCCCTTTCCGTGGTCCGCACTTTAAGCTTGAAGGGGAAACAATAATGAAGGTGCAGACTGGTACTGAAGGCTACATTTTGCATTGAGTTTTTTTTGTTTTGTTTTGAAGTGCTGCAACACGGCTCTGATGGCATGACAGATTTGGGTTAGGATCCAGACCTTGTTTTGAGTCTCGCCTTGGAGAAAGGACCATTAATGTTACAGCAGTAGCGGAAATCCCTCCCTGGTTAAAGCTCCATCTGTGCACATGAGGAGCAGAACGTGCACAAGGCAGTAAAAAATGAATGTGAGGATTGCGAGATGGCCCAGGGAGTCTGTTACACTGATAGAAAATGTAAAGTGCTATAGTCATGGATGTAATGTAGAATGATTGTCTGTCTCCCCTGTTTATTTGCCGGTGTGAGGGCTGTAATGGAGACAAATGCTCGCCTGAGCCGGTGAACCTGCTGCTTTGCCAATCCTGCTCCTCGCTATATGTGGCGGTGGAGGCAGCCTGCTCTGAGAGGACTGTGTGAAGGCAGGTGAGAGGTCCTCAGGTGACTAACCTAGCTTTTATGCCTTAATGACTCCTTGTTACTCTCATAGCTATTTCCCAATTGCCACCAGCAATTCCACCCTCTGTGTCCATTAGATGCAGGAACATGGATCAATATGTGATGCAATTTCCCTGAGGAATAAACCAGGCTTCTTTTGGGTGGCTGGCCCACAGTCTCCTTCTCTTTTCCCTTCTCCCTTTCTCCTCCTTCCTCCTCCTCCTCCTCCTCTCGAACACGCCGTGCTGAGTAAACCTCAGGTAGGTGTTGCAAAGACAAAAGGAGATTTTCTGCACAATCACTTATCTATATAAAGTATAATTCACCAACGACAGGAAGCACTTTGTAACAGCAGCTAAAACAGAAACCTGTCACCCTGGGCTCTCTAAAGCAGATGAAGAATGAGTCATCAGCAGCCCGACACCCACCCAATAGCGGGGCTGGCACTCAGCATGCCAGTAACATCATCTGCCTTACAAGGAATGTTGCCCAGCTATTATCTTTGAACAATGAGACATGCTTTGCTAGTATTCGATTTCACAAAGGTCAACATCATTTTGCCACTGGAGTAAAGTGTTGTTTTCATAATGAATATGCCCTAGATTATGCACAGACACAACATAGCCTATACAGTCTCAGTGCATTAAAACCCAGGGAGCAAAAGCACATTACAAAGCAATCGCATACCTTTGTTAACAAAACTCTTAAACTCCTATTTTTCAGTTTTATTTCAGGGTCTTTTACAGCAAACTGTGTTATTCATTGGCTTGTATAAAACCCATTAGGAACAGGAATAATGCTGTGGTGCAGGGGCTGTTTAAAGGAGGCTTTTTTATGAGCTTGGGCCTCTTTATATAACTGACATGAATTAAATAATACTCTGTCTGAGGACTGGATTTTAACAAAGGCAATTTCAAGGAAGTGTCATTTACTTTTTTACTATTCTCTGTCTCTTACCGTACTTCTTTAAAGCAGTAAATATGCTGTCGTGCTCGGGTCCAAGTTGTCGGTTTTAGAGACTCGTGACTCCACTTGGACTCAGGCATCGATGAGATCTTTACTGAAAAATCATGGTCTGGATGGCAGCATATGTTGCTTGTAAACCAAGTTATAGTATTTAGCATTAATGGAGCCTTAACGGATGTTTAAAGTCCCACTCCGATTGTTTTTTATTTATTACTTAAAGTGATGTCAGATGTCTTTAAATTGTGATTTTGAAGTTTTTAGCCAACATCAAGTTACCTGTGTCATTTTTTAAGGGCTTTTCTACTGCAGAGCTTCAGTAGCTCATTAGCAATTGGCCTCTGAGTCATGACATTGCCGGTGTCGTAGAAGTAGCAGGTAACAAAGGCGCTATTCAGCTCTCGGACACTATTGTCTTTGGGGACATGATGAAAGCTAATTTCATAATTAGCTTTCTTATGAGCATTGCAATCTGTTAACGCACATGCTTGTTTCGCGATCGTCCACTCTACTTTTCCTAGTGAGGCCTACATAGTGGGACTCTGGGGGCAGTGCTTGGATTTGCTACGTAGGAATTCTCACTGCATCTGAGTCTGCTGTTGGGGTCTGTCAGAGATTACTCAGAAATGCGATTTTTCGCTTAGTTTTCTCATGATATGTTGTGTAGCATCAGGAAAATGCCATATGAACATGTAGACAACGAGAAAAACATGATTTTCATCAGAGTGGGTCTTTAAGCTGCCCACTGGGGATGCTTTAAGCTAAGAGCTGATAACAAGGTACAGTAGGTGGTGGTGGTTCTTCTTTTGTAGTAGAGGACACAGTGTCCATGATTTCCACAAAGAAGGTCGGATTTTGATTTGTTCGCAGTTTTCCTCGTCAATTCGGTCCATCTTAAATGTCTATCTTTGCAACCTCTTTGCATGGTTCAGTTTTAACCTGCATTTGTGGATATCTCGACGAATTGTGGTCACAGAAAATGTTTTTTGTAAGCAATTTAGAGCCCATACGTTGACTTCAACTACAGAGCCATGCCTGTTTTTAAAACAGTTCCACCTGGGACTGAAAAACCCTAGTTTTTGGTCCCTGTCCCTTTTGTAACAGGTGTCTCCAGTTTCTCTGATTCTTTTCTTGTAGAATGATATCTTGTAGATGGTAGATGTAGATGATAAAAGTAGCATAGTTTTTCATAGAGTCTTAAACCTCTTCCCATATTTCCTTAAGAGACTCAACCTCTCCAGTCATCTTGCTAACCTGTGGTGAATCATCCTCATTTGTTGGGAGATGTTCATCCAGCTTTTTATTATTATTATTATTATTATTATTATTATTATTATTATTATTATTATCATTATCATTATTTTATTTTATTTTTATTTATTTATTTTTATACAACTTTTCTGTTTTCAACAAGTGTTTTGCTGTTCTGGCATGTTGCTCACATTAAATTTAAAAGGATCAGATATTTTTCATAAAAACATGACATTGTTTGATTTCAACCTTTGACATATTGTCTTTGCACCATAAAGGGTTTAAATAATTTGCAAACCAAAAAATCAGTTTTTTGATAATAACTGACATATAGTAACACAGCTGTTTACATGCCTGGTCCATTTCTACATGTCTTGAAAAGCGTGACAGGTTGTACATTTGGCTTTTAGAGATTTAACAGCAAATGCATGTAAGACTAGTGCACCCTGTTCGGCTCTTAATAGCACTTTCAGGAGATGGTGAGTCAGCAAATGCATCTATTTGTTTATGGAGATCAATTTAGAGCCAAATTGTCATCAACATTGCCAATGCTAATGTTTCCCTGGATTGCACTTCCACCTAATGTGTTGAATCTTTTTAGCAATTGACACAACCTTAATGCCAACAAAGCCTTCTCAAAATGATTTAATTCTACCTGAAAATGCACTATAACAAGAAACCAGAACATTTCCAACACTTAGAAATCTTGTCCTTCATGAACATATTTTGCATTCATATGTAGATATCTCTTACTCTGGTGTTGAGTAAACCAATTATTTCATTCAGTTTGTTTGGTAACTCTTATAATGACAGGGGCCGTGGAGTGCATCACTTTAAATGCTTCCTTGCTGTGATGCTTTGCAGCTTTTGTCAAGGTTATTTTTTTTTCCACGACAACAGATTGTAAATGCAAAATGCAATGTTTACAAGGCAATGAACCACATTTTTCCACCAGTCGCCACTGTCATGGGTCAGTGATTTTCTGTGGGCCCCAGGTTTTTGTAGTTAGCACAGTGTAGCGCTTGAAAGATGTGCATGGTGCAGTGGGTGATCAGAAAGTCTGAAATTGGCCCAGAGAGAGCGCCGCTGTCAGAAAAAAGACCACAGCATTGAAGAAACGAAATGGAAAATGCCATCCCCTGCTGAGTGAATGAATACACGAGTTTCTCTGTGAACTTTTGGTCGTGCCGCTTGGATCACAGCATCAGCGAAAAGCACTCTTAACAGTCTACAGGTTTCTAAAGGGTATAATAAAACAGGGAGGGTAATCTATCTTAAAATGCATGGGTTAGTGTGAGGTGGAAGCAGGCAGAGGCTGTGCTTCTCATGAAAAATGTCAGTGTGAAAGCAGCAGGAACTCACAGTTAACGTCTTTACTCGCTCTTATTGTCGTATTTGTCCGTGAGGATATTTCTGTCAGCCCCTCTATGTTGATTTGAAAGGGTGTCGTAGTATCTCCCTCCTTGTCTTTAATCAACACACAATGTTATCTTCCACCAGCCCTGGCCCTGCGTTTATTTCTTGTGACTGTTTCTCGACTGAGCCGTCTCTCCTGAATGGTACCAATTTTGGGATGAAAGCAGAAAGAGCAGTGCAAAATGTCTTTAAAGGCTGCAGAAAAGACAAGACAGACAAAAGAGAGAGAATGAAACAGTGGAGACAAAAGCGACAAAAAGAAGTCTAGTTCAGGATCAGAAGAGGAGACATCAATATGTGTGTGGGCAGTGTTAAATAATTTACTGCTCCCTGATCAGACCCTATTTAATTAGTCCTTGTTCTGTCGATTTAATCAGGCCCTCTTGGTTAGGGTTTTAGGCTATGAACTGTGAGAGGCAAAGAAGTATCATATGGTCGCCTGCTGTGTGATCACAGCAGGGCCTCAGGTAGAGGACACAGGGACATGTCCTGACGGCTGGCTCCAGTTATTGCAAACAACACTAACAGAACACAGCAGCAGACCCCACCGACTCCTGTAAGTCTGCTAACAGGTTGCCGTCTAACACCTTCCATGCCTTCTCTTAACAAGGGTTAGCCTTCTAATTACCTCCCTTTAAACACGTTATGCAATTATCTATGTATGTGATGGTTCACAGGCAGCTTGTTTACACTCCCAGCTGGTTGGATTCTACACCTTGGCCTTTGGCTGACAGAGACACAGCATATTTTCTCAAGAAGAAGAAGATAATTTACTACATAACTTTCACTCTATAATGGGTGGAGTTTTCCTCTTCGCTACTTTATCTGTTAAAATGATTGGAAAAAATAGTGAAAGCTGCTGGATATTGAGATGCAACATAGTTAGATGAGTCAATATTGGATTGTAGATACATGACAATGGTGTGATCCCGACAGTCAGTACCTTTATATGACACTCGAGAAAACCAAAGTATTGCCTTACTTCGATTAGGACCGGACAATTGAAGTGCATGTAAACATCTTAGTCCGACTATAATCGGAGTCTGAGAACTCCGATTAAGAAATCCAGATAATGTGATTGGAATTCGATTTTCTATACCACGTAACCAGCGTAGTCGGAGGATGATAGGACAATGCATGCGCGTGTGCGCCACGCCCCCTCAACCCGAGAACAAAAAACACCAGAGAAGAAGTGGCACTATCATTTAAAGAATTTTCGACTCAGAAGCAACTGCAACATGGCTGAAGCACGAAAGAATGTCCACTTTTGGAATGATGAGGAGAGCGCAGTTATGCTTTCCCTCCTGAAAGAAATGGACATTTTAAAGTATATGGATGGTCGCGAAATGAGGAACGGAGACATCTTTTAAAAATGTCCAGAAACAGTGCTGCTGAAAAGACCCATATTGCCCCCTAGTTTTGGGAGGGAAGACATGTTTAGGTCAATAATTTGATTTTCTCAGCTGCATGTATACACGGACAAGTAGAGAAGTCTGATTTGGTGAAAAAACAGATTTATGAGCTGACTCCGATTAAGCTGTGCATGTAAATGCACTGACTGAGGACCTGTAGAAGTTGACGCTTCACCAATCAAGGCCAGGTCCATGAAATAATGGATCACCCTCCCACTTTGATGGATAACTAGAAAGAACGCTAATACAGACCAATAGTTTTGAGTTTTCTTGTGATAAAACGACTTTTTGGGGGGTGTTGGTTCACTTGTTTGAATACTGCAGTGCCATTATTTCCCATTTGCCATGGACAAAGTTTATCAACAATGGTGTTTGCGCTCTATCACTGTCATTTTGATGTTCCTTTGCAATTGGGTGACAAAATATGAAGACAATGCAGACGTCTCCTAAGAGGATGACTTATGCTTAAGTAACAAAATATACTTGAGTCTTACTTTATTTATTTATTTATTTATTTATTTATTTTTTTATCTTCACCATGTAAGGCATTTTTGAAAACCTCTACTCTCATGTCAGTGACTGAAAACCTGTTAACATCTAAACAGGAAGTCATTCTCTGACCATTTTCTTGTGACCATGTTGCTTCCAAGTGTTCTCATGAGACAAGGCATGAGCATACTGAAATATATTTGGGAAGCCAGAATAGACTCCCATCAGATCAACTTTTTTTATATTCTGATTGACATCCTTATACAAATCATTTTTATCCTGTTTTGGACATTTTTCCACTTCTAATCTACTAAAGTGGATATGTAAACCCACTCAATGTCTCTAAAATATGTTCTTATCATGGACATATGAGGTCAAGGCTTGTTATCTATTGTAAGTAGATAAGTAGTATATGTTAGTTGTAGAAAGCCTAGTTGCATCACATGTTGGTCATATGACTATTGTTCAGAATTATTTCTCCATCAAATGTAACTCAGTAGCTCCTGTTATAGCTTTTGTGCCAAACAACAACGTTTTGCCATGCCATAAATGCATGTAGGCCTATGCCATGTTGCAAAGTCAAACCAAACAATGCATATTCATTAATGGTAGACCTTCACGCCCTGTCTACGCAACTAACTCAAAGGTGTACCTTATATGACATTTGGATGAAAAATGTGTTGCAGTAGTTCTGTCAATGGGGATGTTATAGACCATCAGACCCAGCTCCATCCCTGCGCCGTTTCCCCTCAGATAAGTCTTTAGAGCTTGAATCTTTCTGGGAATGATAGCAGAGAAGAAGGGGAAGTATTGTGTTGCCTAAGGCTGGTTTGGAGGAAGAGTAAGCCGCCAGAGGATCCAATTTCAGGCCATTTCCTCCCCTAAAAAAATGTCTGAAGTGGAAAATCACACCTGATGGCCCACTGGCATAGCTTTCAAGCCACTAGATGGTAGTACAGAAATCCTTGTACATATCAGTTTTCTGAAAAAATGGGGTAATGATAAAAAAAGAAAGTCCAGATGACCATCTGTGCCCTTTGGTAAGAGATTGAGTTCTCAGTTCTTCTCATAGTGAAGAGGCGGGCTAGCAGAGCGTTTCTTTCTCACACTGTTGGATAGGCATGAATCTGCAAGTGGAGGACATTGAATTTGTTTTAAGCCACACTCCCACAACGTGCAGCCACTGCTGAGGTACACACTTTGATTTGTGACATGCAGAGACGGGTGGAAAAGAGAAGACGAAGAGGAAGAGAAAGAAGGAGCTAAGGGAACAGAAGTGTAGTGTCCCGCTGAGGTAATTTGCCTTGGGTCTTATAGAGCTTACTCGCACTGCTGGCAGAGTCATATGCAGGCTGATACGGGAAAAGGAGAAGATGTGGGAACAGCGTGAGAAGCCAGCAGAATCACAAGTGTTGTGGCTTTGCCTTGTAGCTTCAGAGGAAATAAGAAAGAGTGAGACCGAGAGGAGGCTGGGAGTAGAGTAGGGTTTAACTAATACTCGAACAAAGGTACCTGAGCATGTGTGCAGGCACATGTGCACACTCCCAGTCATCACCCAGTGCATCGGGGAAGGCCAATTTTCATGGGAGCGTAGCAGTTTTGAGCACACCTAAGTGCCTGTGACACCTTTGGCAGTGCCAGGAGCTGGGACATCAGCCGGCATTGACAGCATGGCTGGCACATGCCTGAGGGCCTGGGAAACTTCCCCTCTATAATTGCATCCCATGTCAACCTGTGACAAGTCAGGCTCAACCGGCACGGGAGCTCACTAATCACCGGCCAGACGACCTCCACCTCCTTTACCCTCGCCTCTCCCTCACCTGTTCCTACTTTCACCTGGCTGCTCATCACATTCCCACCTCAGTTAGCCCCCGTCCATCTTTGTTTATGCGTGTTAGAGCAGCACCTCTGAGCAAATCATCATATCTTAATCCACGCATGATACTGCCAGTGAAAGCAGTCCTAGCTCATCATGAGTCGTCAATATGGACTGTATATAGAATGGACAGAGTCTGCCTCCTTGCTGGGTAAAGCCACCCTGAGAACAGCGCCCTCTGGTGACGGGCTGCAGTATAGGTCATAAATCCCGCCTCCTCCAGCCATCCTTATGTGGCTGTGGACAAACTTTCGAATTTATTACACAGAACATAAATTTTACTCCCCCTGCTTGTGATGTTGACATGTAGTTATTGTAAGACTGGTTTGTGCTCAAGTCCTCTTTTTTCTTTACAGCTGCATTTTTAAAAGTTATTAGGGGGTTCATGTTTTCTATGATTGACACTTGATACAGCCTATGGGCGTACGGAGATTGTGTAGCTCACCCCGGGGATATGCTGTTTGAGTTGAGCGTCATCACAGCGACTCAGCAACTCTCCCGCCAAATGTGTACAACGCTACTGTGCACGTGGGCGAGTGCGTACAATGCCTAATGTTGGTTTCAGTAAGTTACCAATTACCAAGAGCTTTTCGGCTTCAAATTCGTATACTGGCGGAAGGTGGAATCAAGTTGTCCATAGTATATACAGTCTATGGTCGTCACTTCAGAACCTTTTTTATGGGTCTTACTCTTTATATCAGAAATACTAGATCTGCCAGTATTTCTGATTTTACTGCATGGCATCCACCATGTTTCTGGGAGTTGGCAGTTAGTCACTTCACAGCGCTGCTTCTTATTTATTTTAGTTTGCTTTTTCTGCAGTTGGGTCTCACAAAGTTTTAGGCTTTTATCTGATCTGTTGTTCCAGCGGCTCCACACTACCCTTACCATCCATGTGCATACTCGCTCTGTATCACTAATGTATTACTTGCTAATACTAGCTGACATACCAAACCAATGCTAAGGAAGCACGGTGACCTTTGGGTTAGCATTTTGCAATGTGCCTTACTTTGCTGGGGAACAGTATTTTCACACATACAGGATGTGATTGAAACAGAGAAAGGAACCAAATCCCTGAATAGTGAAAATGCAGTTGGACTAACCACTATTTTTATTTCCATTTGATTTTTAAAGTAAGAAATTTTGTTTTAAGGAAGTTAAGGACAGTTTTGAAAAGCATTTTTATTACCAACACCCCCTAGCTAGCTTACTTCACAATTTTTATACTAATTACATCAATTTTGTTCAAAGGGGTGCTGAGATAAATACACGATAGACTGTCTTGGTTTAAAAAGACCGCAGGAGTGTCATCACACCTCCCATGAAAAGCCTCAGTGTGACTACAACACAGTCACCACTGCTGTTAAAGCCGTGTACCTTTGTGATATGAGACCAGGGGGGCAATTCGCAACAAGTTTTATGTGCGTGACGGCAACTTTGTAAAAGTCTGTACAGGCTGCCTGTCCTTGTGGTTTTTGATGGGAGATATGAGCGTGTGTGCATGTATGTGTGTGTGTGTGTGACCACATCTTTGATCTCTGCTGAGTGATGTGCGTGTGTGAGGAGGAGAGCAACATGGTGCTCGTGCCTGCTGCCTCCTACAGATTGAGGTGAGAGCAGCCAGGTGGGGCCCCGGTCGTGTCTGTGTGCCACAGTAACTGGATGTGATGGCTGGCCTCTGGGGATCTCTGCCTTAGAAGTGCTAAACGAGCGAAGCAGAGCAATCACACTCTTCCTCTGTGCGCGTGAGTGTGTGTGTGTGTGTGTGTGTGTGTGTGTGTTGCAACCCCGCACACACCCATTTTCGCTCTCCGGTTGCCAATGGTTCTGTGTGCGCGCAGAGGCGTGCGTGTGTGCTATAAAGGACACTGCATTTATCTCCGGACTAAATATAAGCAGCAGCTAGATGGATGATAAGATAAAAAGGCCTTTAATGTATTAAATGTTGCCTGGTAACAAGGCTTTTAAATAACAAATACACAAACATGGCCGCCGCTGCAGGTCAGTGCAATGATGCTAAGTGTTGCAGACAGTCCACATGTGGTGGAGCTGTAGCGCTGCGACTCCAGTCACAGAGGTGGTGACAAGACATGGGTTCCAGTCTGCAGAGTGTGACCCCACCCCCCCTCCTAAACAGCCTCCTCCTCTTCGTCTCATTGTGATTGTTAGCCTGATGCCCCTGAAAGGGCAAACTGCCCCCCAGCCCTTCATTAACCAAATGGAATTGACTTAATTCAATTAAGGAGTAAAATTTTCCCCCATGAGAGGGGAGGATGTTTGTGTGCATTTTTTTCTTTTGCACATCAGCTCTGACTGTGTGTGTGTATTCGTTCCTATGCCTGCTCCCACATATATTACAACCTGTGAAATGAGCTCTCATGCATATGAAAACAAGGTGTGTCACAGGTTGCGTTCTTGCCGCAGGGCCAACAGAGGCCCCGGCGCTGCTGCTACAGAGGCCTCAGGTAGCACCTGGGCCCCCTCGGCTCCGCCCGCACCCTTGTGCGGCACTACAGCCTGAGGTGAATGCCAAGAAGTCTCCGAGCCACTCCATCAAGCAGCCCCCCCCCACCCCAGGGGAACGGCAGCCAATGAATTACAGATTAGATCATTGTTACAGGATCATAACAGTGATCTAATTGCCAATTTCTCTTTTTAATTGAATTTGGTGGAGTGAAGAGGCAGAGATAGGATTCAGGGGACTTTGTGTGGAGCCGATTTGGAGTCGGCCCGCTGTTGACCGGACGTGAGGGTTAATTAGGGGAAAAAAATACCAGAGCTTGACATTCGGCTGCAGTCTGGGCGTTGACTGCAGAAAAGTCAGGCCTGATTTCCTCCACTGTGCTTCTAGTTTGGGTTGAACCTCAGTCAGGCTGCAGAAATCAGTCAAACCTTGCTGATGGAGAACTACCAGTTTGATCAATGGGTATGGACTTGCTTAGTACAGTTTTTGTGAGGTTGTCACATGGTACTCTTGTTTGAAAAGTGAGCCATTAAGATGAAAATACTGTGGTTATCATAATCATATCAAAGCATGTACTTTTGAACCACACATGGTGACAAACTGAAGGTGGTGTCCGACGTTATATTTTATGTGATAATGGATTATATTGATACAACGTTTTTTTGCTGAGTAAAAAATTGTGAGTTAAATGACATACAATAAACCTCACCGTCTAAAGCCCTGGTTATACTTTCGCCTGGCTCTGCTCCAAGATGGTGCGCGCACCTCGGCAGAGCACACAGGCGTTTATTCTTGGTGCGTTCTACGTTGCAATATTCGCAGCAAAGACAGGGGGCGGTAGAGAAAAAATACAATAGGAAGTAAGGTAAAAACAGGGAAGAAGAAGTAGCCCGCCAGTCTTCACGGGAAAACACGGGAAAAAAGATTATTTTTATTTAGCCTACAAACTGATCCCCATTGTGTACCTGTATGGATTGACTTCTTTCCAGGCCATTATCCTCAATTACGATAACTAGCTATGAACACAATACCGAACCGATCTGTACATGAAGTCCACCATTTTTCAACCTCTTTTTGGGCCATTTTGAGGGGTCTTTTAAAAAGTTTCTTCTCAAATCGCATCAATTTGATTTTCTTATAAGCAGGAATACAAGTAGCGATGACCTGAATGATGAAAAATACTTTGGCTTTTTCAGATAAATCAAAGGGCGTGGCTGTAGTGAGCCCTCAAAATTGTTGGGGTTTATTTTGCCATAGTTTTATCTCAGCTATGTATGTTCCAACCTGACCCAAATTCACCATGCAAAACTGGAGTCAAGACCTTAACATGTTTATGTGGTAATATGTCATCCAAGGTTTAGCGCCTTTTGGTGGCAGTAGGGAATGCCATGCTGTCACTTTAAGAGGCAGATGTCCGAGGTCGACTAAATGTGGATCCTTGGTCTCTTACAAAAGCACCAAAGCAGCAACAAGCTCTGCATCCTGCTGTTTGCCAAACTCCGCCCACGTGCATGACACTGCATTTGTAATGATGACAGCTTTATTTTTTTAAATAAAACATTGAATTTTCATCAAATTTCATCATCTCTTTAATGTGACATCATGTCTGTCCTATATAACAAAACAAAACTTGACAACTTTTTTTTTCCAACCGTAAGGACTTCTGCCATTACGTTGCACATCGCTCCACTTGCAGGGATAACAGGACGATGGTGTCAAAGGATTTTACAGAAGTATCACCTTATTTCTGGAAGCAGTCACCTGGACTCAGTGTTTACACTTTTCTTTGTTTCTCCTCCTGAAGACGTCTTCAGAGCGAATCTTTAGCCCGCTGCTCTCTGACCTGACTTGATCTAATTGCAGTTTGTCTGTGTCTGCCTCTGCACTCCCTCCCTCTGTCCTCTCCTCCTGCCCCTGACTCCTCCACCCAGTGCTGACCATAAATGAGCTCCACAGTGTTGTCTGATTATAGCTGGGTTAAATTAGATGAGATAAGTTAGCCCCGTGTCTCCTGCACAGCCTTGCTTGAGAGCTGACAAGCCCAATACATCTGCTGTGGCCATGGTAATTGAGATGGGGAGGGGAGGAGAGGGGCTGTGGATGTGAGGGAGTGATTTGTGTGCGTGTGTGTTTGTGTGTGTGTGTAGAGGCGTGTGAATGGGAGTAGAGGGGGAGGAGGGGGGAGCCTCTGTCTCTTGTTCCTCAGTACCTGTCATTGATGAGGAGCCAAGGAGAAGCTTCAGCTTGAAGCTGTCATCGGCCCTCAGAATGTGTCTGCCTCACTCTATCATCCCTCCCTCCTCATCCTCAATCCCTCACACCCTCTCCCTCTCTCTCTCTCTCTCTCTTTCAGAGTGTGTGATGTGGATGCAGAGTGTGTGAGTCGTGAGCCAGCCAGCTAAGCCTGTGTGCACCGTAGGAATCTGTGCGACCAGGCTCTCGAGGCGTTCAAATCGGAGACGCCGGCAGAGCGACTGGGGTTCTCGCCCGCCGCCCTGACATCGCCGAGACCGACGCTCCCTCTCCCGGACTGACAGGCCAATCGCAGGCCACTGCTCACCCTCCCTTCCCACAGAACGCTCTCTCTCTCTCTCTCTCTCACTCACACTCACTCTTCCTCCTCCTCTTCTTCTCTCTCACTCCGGCTCTCATTCCTTTGCGCTCAATCCGTGCATTCCCTCCGCCTCCTCCTCCTCCACATCCTCCTCCTCCTCCTCCTCCTCCTCACACCTTTTGGTCCGAAGAGGAAGAGGAAGCCCAGCCCAGCGAGAGACGCTGAGAGGATGAAACTCTGACACGCCGACAGACCACAGGGAAACAAGAGCACAACTGTGAGTACAGCGGTCCTTTCACCTCTCACTCAGGCTTAACGCTGTCACACACACCTCCACTCCGACACACTAAACACACACCCTCACACTCGCACGTGTTCGCCACATTTACTTCAAACACACATGGTGACTTGACTCTGCATCCAGAACTCAGCATCCATCCTTTTCTTGAGTGTCTTTGTCTCCGTCAGTGCAGGAATGTGCCTTTTTGAACATGTGCTTCTTCACTTTTGCTGCTCTTCTGCAAACAAAAACTCTGATTCCTACTTTTTTAATCAGCGTGTGACATTTCTCTGTACTTTTATGCTTCACTTTGATGCTCCTTGCAAAAAGTCAGCGGCACATTTTTCTTTGTTTGGACTCGGATGAAAAATCACCCATGCGATATGCAAGGTCAAGTGAATAATGTTTCACACGCTGCGCCTCATATTGTGAGCTTCTTTTGTCTTGCTGTTTTTATTGGTAATATAGGCACGCTGGATCTCCACAAGAGGAAAGCATCTCTGTTCTTATCTCCCATCTTAAACGTATAAGCTGCTATAAGCCAATAGATGCCCGCGGGGTGAAAAAAGGGGGCGTACTTTCTTTAAGATTCCCGAGCAATCCCCTCTGCTTATTGTTTAGCGCTCAGCAAGGGGGAGGTCTGCATGCACGCCGGGGCTGATCTGCACTGTTTGCGCCACACTATTTTTTGATTATGTTCCTGGTTCATCTCTGGCTGAGACGATTTCCTATTTCCTTCTCCCATTTCGAGAGCAGGGAGTATAATATGATAGCGGGGAAGTGCAGACAGTGGATCCGTACAGAGGACACAGATTGCATTTCCCCTGGAGAATGCTCCTGCTGTATTAAAGGCACTGGAGGGCTGCTCGGCACTTGTCATCAGCCACCGCTAGTAATGCCGGCGAGAAGGGAAAGTAGACGCGGTGTTTACGGCCACTCTCTCATTTAAAGAGCTCCCATTGGCCCCTAATGCCACAGCTGCATCACACCGGCCCGCTGCAATCCAGGTTATATTACATCTGCCAGGCCCAGGATATTGCGTGGCGCCTCGCTTTGCTTTGACAATCCGATGAGCAAATGTAGAAATGAAAAGATTTATGTTAAACACCAATGGCATATTGGATTTGATGTTGCACTATAAACTCCTGGAGTGAGAAGTACAGTATTTGCATTTTAATGATTTGGTTTAACATGCACGACATCCCCGTTTATGCTCCAACTTGAATTCATATCACTTCTCATTTTTAAGAGCCTCTTTTTTTCCTACACATTTTTGCACAACAGATTCCAAAAGAGTTGTGTGAATTTGTTTTGCAAATAATTTGAGCCTCTGGTTGACTGAGAATAGTGCAAACACAACATATCAAATTCTGAAACTTAAAGTTTTATTTGATTTGAGAATTTTAAATTGAATGTTGGCAAAATGTTTTAGAAAAAGTCTTTTCAGAGACAACAGAACAGATGGAAAGTTGAAAAACACTAAAAACAACGAGGGGAAAGTCTCAACTAATGAGGTTCATTTACAACAGGTTAGTAACATGACTGGGTATAAAAGGGATCATCAGAGAGGCCGAGTCTCAGAACGAGAGATAGGAAGAAATTCACCTTTCTGTGGGGGACTGTTTGAGCTAACAGTTCAAGAATTTCAGAATGAAGTGAAATTCATCATCTACAATATATAATATCATGAAACGATTCAGAGGATCTGGAGAAAACTCTGCACAAAAGGGACAAAACTAATACTGGATGGTCCAGATCTTCAGGCCTGTGGGCAGTAGTAAATTAAAAACAGACAGGACTCTGTCGTGGGAATCACTGCATGGACTTCCAAAAGCAACTACAGGTTAAACTTGTACCAAATTCTCCTATCGTCTGATGTGGCAAGGACTTTGCATCCCTGCTGGTATGAGGATCATCAGAGTCCATGGTATGGGTGGCTTACACAGTTTTAGAGCAACATCTGCTGCCATCCAGACAGTGAATTCTTCAGGGAGGACCTATACATATGAGTGAGACAATGACAAACTTCATTCTGTATGTATTACAACAGCATGGCTCTGTAGTAGAAGAGTCCTGCTGCTGTCTTCAGTCCCGATTCGTCACCTATTGAAAACATTTGGAGTATCATGGCACAAAAATAGGACAATGGAGACCCTTTGGACAACATTTCACTTTCCAAACCCCAGAATCTGGTCTCCTGGGTTCACTAATGTTTACAGAGTGTTAAGAAAAGAAGAGCTGATGACACATGATGGGAAACATGACGCTGTGGCAAACGTTTTTTGGCAACAAATTTGAAATGAGCAGATTTCCGGTTTGGATATTTGATATGTTGTCTCTGCAAAATGATCAGTTTAATATACCGGGGTGTAAAAGCATAAAAAAATCTGTTTCTATGAACATTTTACACATCACCTCATCTCTTTTGTATTTATTTGTTGTTAATTTATAAGTGTAATGATTTTCTGTCATGTTTAGCCTCTGTAGGTGATATTTCTTTTGTTTTTCTCATTGTCGAATCTAAACCAGGGATTGATTTTGACTGTTCGAAATGTGAAGTGACACGTCAATGACTCTTGAGGCCCAACAAGCCTCTGGTTGCCCGTGTGTCAGCAAAAGCGAATGAAAAAGCCTGAGACTTACTTCTCTCTTCTGTCTGGCCTTGGCAAATTTACAGAACCCTTGTGGTTTCACACACACACAGACACACACAAACAGACACACACACACGAACAGACACACAACGCTAAATCAAGGTAAACAAGACAATTATCTACCTTTTTCTCCTCTGTAGTTGCTCCGCTTTTCTTTCCAGGCGAGGATTATAGGGAAAGAGTGATTAGAGTCGGAGTTAAAATGCAAACTGATTCAGTGTCCTACATAACTCCACTGACCATGCATTACCTAAAACCACCATCAAAGCTCTGATACTCTTTGCACAGGGAGATTACAAAAGCTACATCACAAAAAGTCATTTCAAACTCTCTCCATTAATGTGATTTTCATTTCAGGGTTGCCTGTGGCTTCCATTGAAAATCCTGCTTTTTCAAATGTGGAAAGCCTCTCTTTTTCCCACCGTGGTCACTCATAGTCAAGTTTATCTCCTCCATGTTGCATGTGTCATTGTTGAGAAATAGATTCAATGGGAGTTAATAGCCTTTAATACTGGGAAACATATTTAATTACATATATTTTTTTACCCCAGAGGTGCTGTTGGTGAAGAAGCCAAGTCTCCCTGCAGTTTTTAAACCACTCCTGAAGGCTAGGATAAGTCACCGCCATCCCATATTTATGACTATCTGCTCGTGTATCTGCACTTATTGATTACATGGTTGGTAACCAGTCCTGATCATCAATAGAGATCCTTACAAGGCGAGGGCAGATAGTCTTTCCACTCTCCCTGAAGGCTCAATTACACAGCGAGTGCGAGGAAATGTGGGGGGGAAGGCTTCTGACAAGGTCAAATTATACATGTCAGCCTCAAATCACATCGTCGCGTTTTTTTTCCGACCACATCTGAACGTATAAAGAAAGACGAAGAGTCAATAAATGTTGTATGCTCTTTAAACATTCACATACTTTACTGATTAAATTATGTCGAGTGGAAGAGACGCTCCGAGCTCCCTGTGGGTGTTTTCACTTATTCTCAGAAAAGTCTCCACCTGACTTTGGGGCATTGGATGCAACTAATTGCACCTCTTGAATAAATGAATGATGGAATTTAGTAATTTGCCAACTTGTTATCATTTAAACATCATGATTACTATTGCAAAGCCATCATATGAGTCCCAGCCTCAACACTCGTGTAGTGCTTCTTGTGTTGCTGCGGAGACGAGGAGTCGAGGTCGTAATTGCTGCTTCGCTGGGCTGTTCGCTCTCACTAGTGCTCTTAAACAATGGATGCCATTCAAAGGATTATGAATATCTCAATTCACTGATGAAGGACGTGTGTAGGAAACATTTAGAGTACTTTTTCTGTTGGTAGAAAGCCAAAAAAGCAGAATTGATTTGTTGGAAAAAGTATTGGAAGGGTAGACTCTCCTCAAAAAAAGCATTGTTATTGCAGGCTAAAGAGCTGCCGGAGGATTATACGACTCTGAAAGCGAGGTTTTGAAAAATATGAACAAAACACTCATTTTATTTCGCAAAGGAGCTTCTACATCAGGAACATTTTCGAGGGTTTTCTTTTTTCACCTGTAGTGCTTTTCAACCATGTGTCTGGATTTGAAGACCACCAGACCAAAAACAATGGAGCCAAGTCGGAATCTGTCAAGTGTTTTTACTGAAAAATAGCAAGTTTACATTATACCTTTTTAACTATTCTTGACATTCTTGGTACAGTGATTATATTATACCATAATTCAGTGGATTGTAGTCCTCAAAGTGCCATGAACATTTATAAAAGCCTTAAAATGTATGTTTAACAGCTTTATGCTCTTGAACAAACACAGGTGGTGCTGTGGTTGCTTCAGATCTAGATGGTGATGGGTTCAAATCCCCAGCCCCAGCATGTGTTGGTTTTCCATACGAACACACAGGCTTAAAATACTCATTTATACTCTGTTTCTATTCTGTAGAGATAGCTTTTTCTAGCATGTAAAAGGCACAAGTCTTTAAATTTTTGTATATTTCTTTATATTTGTGGCGATTGAGAGCTTGATTTGAGTCACAGCTGTTACTGAACCTGAAGGTCTTCATGAAGATAAGAACCATAAGCTGATAATGGCAGTAAAAAAGTGAGGATACAGAGCTAATATGGATGCTAATGGCTAGCCTCACATGTTTTCTATGAAGGCATGACTTTCAGGTCATTTTGAACTTGTGAAGCTGTGTAAAAAGTAGCACCCTTAGCTGAATCTAACTTTATATTTGTGGAAAATCAGACAAAATTAAATATTTCAGGCTGAGATTTAGAAGTCTGCTGAAATTAGAGTTTTCACTGAGT